TGTCCTAACTTCCTGATAAATCACCAGCCATGGGATGATACACCATTGGAATAGAATGGTGGAAAGAGAGCAATTTTTCTTCCCCCATACTATGGCAGAGGCTGCCAGCTGCTCATTATGATCCAGTTTCTTCTCTTCTGCCTGGGGACACTCCATTTCTCAGCCTTCCTCACAAGCAGTGAAATCACACACGTGGCTGGGTTCTTAGCATGAGGGGAAGAGCCAGGCCCCCCTCCAGACCTGGCCCATTACCCACATGTATGCTTGCATGTCCATTTCCCCTCCCAGCTGGCCGGAATGAGGATGGATGGCTACAGTGACCATGGGCGCCACACAAAGAAGAGGGTAGAGCTCCGTCAGCCATGTGACCACGTGGAGGAAGGCTTCTCCTCCAAGTGCCCCTGTTCACACCGCTCTGTGACCTATCTGTGTTGGAAACGTTACAGATTTTGCATCTACTTGCTATAGCAGTTGGCTTAGTAAGCATTCTTCAGAATGCCCATTTTGGAATTGGGGAAGACATCTGTATTTAGCTTCAGTAAAATTAACAGTAATTAATGCTTATCGAGCATTCATTATCTTAAGAGCCTTATATTTATTAACTCTTCATCCTTACAGCAAATGCATATGATAGGGGCTATGAACCCCATTTTACAGTTGGAGGCACAGAAAGGCTAAATAACTTGCCCAAGGCCACACAGCCACTAATTTTAGGAGCTGGTATTCAAACCCAGGCAGTGTAGGTAACAGAGTTTGTCTTTTCACCACTGCCACGAAGTTGCATGACATCCATAAAATCAAATATACTGCCAGTCAGATCAGCTTGTTCTAAATTATTCCCACATCCTAGGGTTACTACTGTCATCCTTGTCAGGGGGTTCCAGGCACCCTGACCCACAATCTCCAGCGTAGAACCTAGGGCCTCGCCATCAGCTTCCACACTGCCTTAGGTCCCTCGTAGGTGTGTCGCCTGGATCATAGCATCCTTGCCTTCGTATCCCTTGGACTCCATCCCCACCAAGACTCCACTCTGACTTTAAGTGAGTCATCCCTGAATCACACCACCACTCAACTGCCCCCTCTAGACATTGTCTCCAGGCAGTGCTTCTACTTACTTAGATAATGGAGTTCCACATCATCTCCAAAGACTCACCTCTCCTAGGTGGGCATGTGTTTGCCTGCCAGGTTCTTCGTGGCTTGCCCTAATCCACTTCCTGCCTAACTCCCAATTCCCATTATGACTTCATTCATTCATACTTTTATTGGGTGTCCACCAAGTCCTAGGCACTGTGCTAGGCACAAAGAGAACAGTGAAAACAGGGAGACACACCCCTGGCCCCGGATCAATAGGATCGGAACACTGACCCTTCTGCAATCCCATCCTTCCTGTGTCTGAGCATATCACCTTCCCTCCAAATGAAAGATCTGAAAACATTTCTATTTTATTCTGGAATCTCAACCTCTTCCTCTTTTGGGTCTCAACACTTTAATTCCAGGTTTCCCCTCTAATCTCTTAGTGTTGTCTGATGTTCTGGGAACGGCATGATGGCACCAAAAGCCCCACTTGTCAAAGCCAGTGTGAAGGTGATCTCAGAAGCGTGGAGTCAGTGACCCAGAGGAGGAGAAGGTATCTGTCATCTCTCTTGAGAACAGAGAACGAACCACTGTGGCACTCAGCTGCCGAGATGTTTGTTTTCTTTATCTAAATGTGTAACAGGAAATTAGGCAGTTCACCTTTGCAGATCATTTGCATATCACTTATGCAGGAGGCAGATGGCACCTCTTTAAGAAATGAAAAATGAAAAAGAAGGCATATAAGGAGGAGTTTATCTCTGCCTCTCCCCTGGCTCTTGTAGACACGCCCTGGAATCTGCATCAAGCAGGGGAGTGCAGACACACACACACAGACACACACACACATGCATGTGTGCCTGAATTATCTGCATTGGGCTGTGTTAGGTACCAGGAACCAGCAAACTCCCAAGCCCAGCAGACCTCAGTAACCTACAACAGCAGAGAGGTGCAAATGCCCCCGTTTTGGTGTCAGCTTGCAGGGAGAATCCTCCAGTGCTCTTCCTGTCTAAGAAATCACTCACTTCTCCTGAGCCTCAGCCAGTGCCCCAAACAAAAAAATCGTTCACAAATCACTTGCACTCCACTCTAAGATTTGAGAGCAGGACTATATAAACACTGACCACAACTGGCAAGTACTGATGACCCAGTATTCCCATCTAAGTTCAAACCTTGGGAAGGAGATTTTTCCAGAGGTGGTCAGTTTAAAGGCCCTGCTGTTTTGGGGGCAGCTGCCCGATTCCAGTGTATTTCCCAGTGGTTAGGAAATCCCTATCTCTGACCCAAGAATTGCATCTGGAAATAAGATTATTCGGGGGATTCTCCTGCCTTGGGTGTGACCAGAACTAAGGAGGACAATATAAACAATAGTTTGTCTGTAAAAGCTGTATTCTAGGCTCTTTACACAAATTAACTTGCTTAACATCAAAATAACTCTATTGAGAGACTATATTTGCCCTCAATTTTAAAATGGGGAAGTTCAGTAAACATTAGGAAAAATGTATCAAGGTCCCATGGTTGCTAGTGGTGGTGTTAGGATGTGAACAAGATTACATCCAAATACAGAATTCCCTTGTTACCCTGATGTCTTCCAATACAGAAAACAAGACTTTAGGGTTCATTACTGATGTGACCTCTGGCAAATTTACTTCTGTCTTTTGTCTTGCAGAAGGTGAGGGGCGGGGGGAGTTGTGTATACATTAGGACGCTGTGAGCAACTGAACATAAAGATATGACACAAGCTACTCTTTGAATATGGAGAGTATGATGCCTACCCACCATCGGTGGGAAACGCAGTTCTCCAATGGGCACCATGGTGCACAATGGTGTTTTTATTGCAATAGCCATCCTTTCTTAAATTCATGCTTCCTTGGGACCAAAGACATATGTTTCAAGTCAGATGGCCTCAGCTTACACCTGGTATAGAACTCATAAAAAAGGAACTGCAGGTTACCTGGAATGTGGATGTTTTCCCACCTCACTCTCCTTTCCTTAAATTCCAATCTGCCCCAGAGCCCACGCACATGAGATGGATTTACTCCTTACAGCTCTCCAGGAGTCCAGAGCAACAGTTCACAGTCGTTACAGCAAGAACACCGCAGTATCACTTGGAGATGTGATAGTTTTTGTTTTTTTATCTTTTAAATCAGCATTAAGAAATCCTAAGTGCACTCCCTGAAGAAAGTTTGAAAACTGAGTTTGCGCACAGTCTGGTCAGACCCTGGTGAAGCCAGGAGAGGCCAGATTGGTATATTTAAACATCCTCTCATGGAACAAACAAGATGCACCTCCTGCTTTTATCAACACCAACAAAAATTTGAGCTCAGCCAGACAGGTCACAAGAGTGCAAAGGCAATTAAACAGTGCTGGTTCCAGCTAGACTCAAGAAATCTATGATCCATGGGCCCTTAGTAACCACACCACTGCCTTTCTTGGAAATGACTGAAAAAAATTGGTCTGGATGCTAAAGAGAGACTTCATTTTGATATTTCCTGGCAGGTCTGCCCTGGCCATCCGTCTGTGGCTACAGCTGCATTGCGCTCCCTTCTCCGTATCTGGGGGTCTTGGACAGCTTGGGTGGTTCAAGAAACTGCCCAGTTTGCTGGAGACATTCTACCTTCCCCACTGTTTGGACTACTTGGCTTCTTACCCTCTCATGATGGTCTATCATCTGTCGTCCTTGAGTTGTACCACTATGAGAAAATTACAAAGGGCCATTCTCAAACATGCCACTTTTCTTCAGGCCATGGCTAAAGTGAAGTGCCTTGAGGGACCAGTTTTAAAGTCTGGGTCATGTCATCAGGCAGAGCCATCAGGATCACCCAGATATGACCGATCTGTAGATGTCAGCTCCAAATGCCCCGCCTCCTGGTCCACCAAGCTCGGGCTAACAGGACAGTCACACCTGGATCCTAACCCACATTATGACCATTCATTCCCTACAAAGATGAGACAAACAGCTACCATGCCTCTCGACCTCCAAGGCACCACCCCACCCTCTCTTTATACCCCCTATCCAAATGCCTCACACATTTAAGGTACCCAAAGTTAATCTCCCATCTTTTTCAGACATCTGCCTCCCCATCAGTTTGCAGAAATTATCCCATCTCTGTATCTCAGGATGTACCTATATATCCCCTTTTGGGGATAAATACCCACTGGTCCTTTCCCTGGCAATAATAAGACTGTCAGAACTACTCAGTGATCCATGGTGAGAAGATTCCCAAAGACTAAGGAAAAAATAATTCTGGGTGCAAAATAAGATACCTGTTAATGAAAAAAGTAGACAACTGTGTGGAAGTGAAACTGAAGGTGACGTCCCCTCTCGCGATCAGAAGGCTTTTTCTAAGGCCAACCTGCACCTCCCTCCAGAGCTGGCAACAGAACATCCTCTCTTGCTTCATCTTTCCTGAATCATTGGGATAGTTCTGGTGAGCAATACAGTAATTGGACATTTTGCCCTTTTACTTTGGGTTCTACCTTCTTATCAAGATCCACCTTTAAAGACAAGATAAGCCTACATGGTCCCCAGGTGACTTAGAGAATAAAAAGTGGTGTGGGTGGGACTGAGTTGGAAGATGTTAAAATGTAGAACCAAGCTGAGCTTGTCTATGTGTGCCCTTGGGTGCACACATATATATATGAGTCCGTTTGCATGGAGAATGAGTATTAATGCAAGTGAGAACACAAGGCACATGTCAGTGCAGTGTAAGGATATGGTTAAGTTAAATGTCCAGGAGGAAGGAAGGAGTGAACTATCGAGAGAATAATAAACAGGTAAGTCAAAGTACAGGAGTGGCCACAGAAAAACCTGGGTGTGGGTGTGCTTGTGCGTGATCCAGAGTGACAGGGCTAATGGACATGACACAGACACGTAAGCAAGGTGCTAGCTCGGCCGCTGAGTCCTGCAGCAGGAAAAGCCACCTTACCCTGTAGTAATCAGTGCTATAGACATCTCTGGACATGCCGAAGTCTCCGATCTTCACCAGCAGATTGGCTCCAACCAGGCAGTTCCTGGTGGCCAGGTCCCGGTGCACGAAGTGCTGGGATGCCAGGTACACCATGCCCGAGGCAATCTGACTGGCGATGTGGAGCATCTGGGAGAGCCCCAGCTCGCCTTTCGCCTGGCGTGGCTGCCCGTCCACGAGAATCATAGCATCTGGCCCATGGGCCCTGTGAAGGGTGAGGGGAGAAGGGGTGGGGGCAGAGAATTCAGGACATCAGTGGGAGCAGCGTTCTTCTTCTGTGGAACGCATCACAGAGTCACAGACACCGATGAAATCTCCCTTCTCAGCCTCCTATGGCCCATTTCTACTACCCAAAATTATAGTATGAGTGTGGATATGGGTAAAACACTACAATCAGATTCCCAACGAAGATGGTGTAGACATGGGATCAGGGAATAAACCTATGCCTTTAAATATTTTACCGCTATCCAGGGGTTTCCCAAATTCTAGATGTCTATTGTAGAATAATTCATGAAACAACTAACTCTTACGGAGCCCGTACCATATTCCAAGCACTGCTCTCAGGATCTTAAATATATTGATTCACTTAATCCTCCCACCCCAATTTTAAGATGAGGAAACGTTTACAAAATGATCCAATCACCTGGCCAAGGTCACAGAAGTCCCAGAGTGGCCATATGAGTCACCAGAAAGCAGACTGAAACCAGCCACTGGCTTTAGAGGAGAGCATTTTACTCTAAGGAGCATCAAGAGGGCTTGTTAAGTAGGTTCCTGGCCCCGCCCCCAGGAGTCTGATTGGTAGATGGGACTCAGTCATTTGCATTTCCAGCACGCTGCCTGTTCTGACATCACTGACGCATCTCTGGACAGCAAGACTCTGCAGTCCCACCCCCAGCCTCTCCGTCATACTGCCAAGGGCTGCGTATCTTCTGTTGGTGGCAGGGCCAGATGGAGAAATCCAGTAACGGGGAAGCAGGGGCCTGGGGAGGCTAGCACCCACTCCAACCCAAATCAAGGGCCTGGATTTGTTATCCAACCACCTCGTCCTGTCATACCAGTCACTTTTAGAATTCACTCTTTTCTTCCGAAAGCCCAGTGAGTTGTAACCACACCCAGGGCCCTTGTTTATGACAGTGTGCGCCAAGCAGCCATGGGGTACAGCGAGGCCTCGGCCTGTTTTACTGCGTCTTCAATTTCCACTGAAAGGCACCATTAAATGTGAACACGTTCATTTTATTATCTCCTGTGGGCTCTGTGTCCCTCAGCCCTCTGACAGAGCTACTCATCAGCTCACAGGGAAGGGGGATCAGCGGGCAAACCTGCACCCCCGTGGACCAGGAGAATACCTGGAGCCCGCCCCGAAAAACCACCAGCCAGGAGATATGACAGTAGGAAGGATCTTCTCCCTGCCTCTGCCTCTTCCTTTATACTGGGCATGACAGTGGCACAGAGAGGCACCCAGATGGTGGCCACTGGGGCTGAAGGCACTGCTGAATCCACAGAGAAGCCCTAGTAGAAAATACAGCACGGCCCAGGGGAATGGATGACAGGGAGAGAAAGATCCTGAATACTGAGAAAAGGCAGTGCCTGTATTTAAAACGATCTGGTTCACAGTTCCAATACAATAATTTTAATGGTAGTAGCTCCCTACCGTTGACTGAACACCTAACTACGTGGAAAACTCGTCCAGGTATTATACAAATACAGTGATTTAATATGCATAACATCAAAGCTGTGAAGCAGTTATTAATAGTCTTATTATCTAAGGAGAGAGTTAATGTTTAAGAACTTGCCCCAGGTTGTGTCACTACGACCCGACAAATTCAGAATGTGAGTCTGAATCTGTCTTGTGATAAGCACTGAGTTTTCTAGGAAAGGAATAAATGTCACTGGGGAGCAGAGTTCAGAAATTTTAGAACTTCCTAGAGATACTTTCAATTCCTTTAGGGCCATTTTTGGAAACCTAGCTCAAAAGCAGAGGTCATTATCTGCTACCAACCCTTTCCATTTCCTCCTCAAAAGCACAGCGCCCAGTTGGGTGTCCCACTTCAAGGAAATGCTCATCAATTTTGGGTGAGTGTGCTGGAGTGTTAACAGCCTACATTTGAATTCTGAAGATCTTGTTCTCAGCCATGGAATACAAGGGGATGCAGAAGGCAGGAAAGACCACATTTTAAGTGTAGAGGGCCTGATCACTCTAAACAGCTTCCTGGGACCCTAGACTCTGAACCCTGGCACATGGCGGCCCCCCTGACTTCATGGCACTACTTGGAGGTGGGAGATGTGGGAGGCAGAGATGTGCTAACCCTGCTTGATGGCAAGATGCTGTCTTCTCTGGTAGGCCCCCCACAACTCCATCCAGGACTTCTGGCTGGAGTTTCAGTCTCTTACTGGAACATCAAGGACATCTCAAAATCCAGACAACCTTGCTCCAGGCCTGGGGAATCCCTTCTTGCAACAGATGCAATCTTTCCAGGACAGCGGTATCCAGTAGAATTTTCTGTCAATGAAAATAATCTCTACGGCACAGCCGGTACGGTAGCCACGGGGTATAGTGTGCACTTGTGAGTGCTTGAAATGTAGCTGACATGATCAAGAAACTCAATTTTTAAATTTTACTTAACTTCAAGTAATGTAAATTTAAATTCCAATATCCATATGTGGCTACCGTACTGGACAGCATGGTTCTAAATTTATCTGAGGAAAATCTGCTCTTTTTTTTTTTTCAGCTATCACTATCCTCTGATAAGCTTGGAACATTGTGCCTTCTTATCATCCGCAGAAAGTCCGTGGCAAGAAGGTTTCCACGAGGCATGTAGGGTGTTAGCCTCACCTTGTAACACTGAGAAACACTGGGCATGAAATGGGAAAGCTGCTTGCCGTGCACAGGACGCCACGGCCATGCAGTGGGAGGGGGCAGTTGGGGGTGGGCAGGTCCACTGGGCCCCCTCCTTGGACCCATCGCATACCCCTTCTTCTTCCCCATCCCCCTTGTTCAGGAGGAAGGGCACAGGTTGCTGTCACAGCATCCTCAGCTCATTCCCCCGAGAAATCAGGGGCGAAGCCCTGAATCCAGCTGCTCAGGAGACGATGCAGAAGAACAAAAGGTTGCTTCTCGTCCTCCGTCCCCAGGCTGATGTGTTCCCAGGGACAGTGTGCCTTCTGGCTCCAGCGAGACCCCCAGGGGTTCGGTGGGGCTGGGGAACAGGGGGGACCGCAGTCTTCACTTACCTGAGGAACTTGTTCAGGTCCCCATGCTTCATGTACTCAAACACCATGATGAGGGGGTCTCCGTCGCCACACACGCCATAGAACTTGACAATGTGCTCGTGCTGCAGGTTGGTGAGCAGCTCAGCCTCCCTCTGGAAGTCCTTCCGGGCAGCCAGGGTGGGATCCTTCAGGGCCTGGAGACAGGGCGGGACGTGGTTCTTACCAACCAGAAGGCAGATGGCTGTCCATTTTCTGTCCATTTCTGTTCTCCAGGGGAAGAAACCTGGTGCCATAAGGAAGATACTGCTGGTTCCCAACAAATAAGATTTGAATCAGGGTTTAAAGACCATGAGGCTACATCACAACAGCCAAGCCTGACTCTTTCCTACTTTGACATTTTCATCCCTGAGGAAGCAGAAACTGACCTTCTGACGCTCACGTCCTGACTACCGGCCAGAGATTCAAATCATGTTCATCTCAGAGCCCTGGGCTTCCTGGGAGATCAGTGAAAACGGCCAGGGAAAGGGAGTGGAGAGGTGGGAGGCCTCACAAAGGCCCCCTCCCCTAAGGTTTCCTTGAAGAAATGGTCCCTCAGCTGCAAGAAAGAGTGGGAAAACCACTGCCCACGTGCTTTAACTTCTGTGTTAGCCTCAGCCCATACCCTACCAGAAATCAGGCAGATGACATAAAAACATCTCCTGCCCCTTTCTCTTCTTTGATTTTAGACTGTGAAGGAGTGTAGTATCTTTGCAGAGAAATGCAAATGCTTTGGCTTCTGGAAGGCACCTGCGCCCTGTGAGTAGGAGGTTCAAGGGAGTGCAGGGGGTAGGCAGGACAGCAGCCGTGGAAGCGGCAGCTCGTGGGCAGAAGCCTTAGCATCCTGCAAAGCCCAAGAGCAGGATGGAAAACGTGGGTGTCTGGTGGCCACTAAAATGCCACAGCTCAGCCCCTGTGGGAGTGGAAGACCTGGTATGAGGCGGAACCACCAGACCGGGCCACTTGTGCCATGAAGATAAATGGAAGAGCAACAGTTAGGAGGCCGTCGGTTGTGAATATGGTTTTCCTGCAGCAGAAGAGGACGGTGAGACCAAAGCAGAAGACTGAGTACATGCGAGGGATGTTGGATGGGGCACTGCCACGGGGATATGGCGATGCTGGCCATGAACGAGGATGGACTGTGGGGGGCCGGCCCATTTCTGCAGGAGGCACAGCCTGCACAGGTGTGTGCAGACCTATCGCCAGCCTTCCCACCCTCCCCACGAGGTCAGAAGGCAAGTGGGGCCAAACACCAACCTGCTCCACTAACCCAGCTTAGCTACGTCTATAGACACGATACCAGGGATTGAAGGAGAGAGAGGGACGTTTGCACACCGTTTCCAGGTTTGTGCAAATCTAGACTGATGGGAAATTGGTTCACATCCTCACAGGCATGTGGCCTTTTCTGGTTATTTAAGCAGACTGACCTCGCCTAGATTGGGCTGCATTTCTCTAGCTAGAGATCTTTCTCTTGCCCCAGCAACCCCCATCCGCTGAAATCCACAGGGCTGCCTCGCTTACAGGGCTGCAGGAATGTGAAGATGCAAAAACTGTTTCTAGGAGGCCCATCAAACCTCTATCAGTCATTAGCATACATTAGACATGATGGACTCTTAACACAAAAGGGCCCTAGCTATCATCTGCCTCCATCTGCCCATTTCTGGAGTTGGAGAAACTGAGGCAGCCCTGCCCAGGAATCAGTGCACATGCACACCTTAAATGACAAAAGCTTAAAGTTAAACTGGACCTCAGCAATCTCTTGGGTGTCAAAGTTCAATGCAGTGCTTCTAGAGTCTTGGTCCCTCATCCAGGGATCCAGCCTGACTCCACCTTTCGTTCTTTTCCAAATTCGAAGGTTTCACCAAAACAGTGTTTGAAGACAGGAGTCTACCATTGACAAAAATGTTGGAAGCTATCTAATGTAGCTTTCCCATTTTACAGGTGAGAAAAACTGAGTCCCAAAATGGGCAAGCCGTTTGCCGAAGATCCTGTGAGAAGTAATCGTTTAGTCTGGAGCCTGAACCCTTTCCTCTCCAACATACCTGCTTGAATGGATTTATCAGAACAATTGGTCCCTAGGCAGGTCACCAAAGAGAATGGTGTGTACCGAAGTTAGAAGATGTGGAAGCGCAGAGGAGAGGGTCAGGAAAGACAAGGAGAGCAGGCGGCCAGCAGAGCAGAGCTTCTCAGGAAGCTACCCAATAATAAAGGAAAGAGCTTCCGTGTGTCCACCTTCTGCCAGAACAAAGACATGTGAGAAGCCTTCTTGCTATGGGTGGAAGAAGGCAAAGGGTCATGGAAAGTGGCAGCCTCTCTGTGACCCAACTCCTCAGCTGCAGGGGCTGGGACATGGCTATAGGATGACTGCCAGTGATTTATTTATTTTCATGAGGAATATGAGAGGAAAAAAAAAAAAGGAACCCAGCATGGGTGGGATGGGAGAATACCAAGATTTATGTGAGCACTGGATTTATGAGAGGGAAAGTAGATCAGATTTGGGGCCAGCCAAATGGCCTCTCTCCATCTCTGTAAATCATCCTCTCCCACAGTCCGGATGCCAGCGGCCGCCATTGGATATTTCCATTCTCAGCTCCTGAGCAGTGCCAGCCAGCGTCCCCAAGGCTGTTGCCTTCCAACAAGAGGCAAATAGATGCTCTTCATCTGAAAGATGAGGCACGAAGCAACTGCCATCTCCCAGGCTTCCCACGTGCCTTCTCCTAGTTCTCTCTCCGCCTTTGGCTGGGTTTTCCAGCTCCTGGATCAAGCCTGGGGCTCCTATGTAATTGGCAAAGGGACAGGTGGGTGGCCACCATCCCCAGGGATTGATGCCATCAGGACCGGAGCAGATTAGTGTGGAGGAAAATCAGCTCAGAGACTCTCCTGTCCCTCTCTATAATGTTTACCCCCAACACCTTCTGCTGAGCTGGAGAACTCAAAGTGGGTCACCAGCCAGTGGAATGGGGAAGGACTGTTACTTCTCACAGCTGCAGGGTCTTGCTAACAGGTTACAGAAGCCAGGGAGGCTCCTGACTATGCCCTATGCACAGTGTTCATAGCACAAAGAAGAGCTCTGGATTTTGCCCCTCCTGCCGCCTTCTTCATCCCTCAAAGTTTGGAGACATCACCATTTCTGATCTTACCTTATGTCCATCAGACCTCATGTCCACCCAGCCCTGGGTTTCAGAGAGCTGTGTAATCATATGGGAGGGAAGCAGCCTAGATGCATGAACATTCAAATTTCTCAACAGCTCCCAACTTCTTCCAAGCCATTTAATATCCCACCTTGCCCAGCCTAGGGGGTCTATTGCCTTCTATTGTCCTTTTCTTTTATTGGGGGAAGATATTTTAAAGGCTGTTGGGTTTCAGAGTTCATTAATATATGGAAACCCATTTTATATGTGTGGAAAACAGACATTTCTAAATGTTCAAACACACACACACACACACACACTAATCAACCCTTAAGTATGCAATCACACTAAGACCTTTCTCTTAGTCTCTCAAAATCCACTGTCACTTCTCCTGCCTGAGTCTCTTGAACAACTTATGAAGAAGGAAGATAGGTAATTATCACATAGACAGGGAAACTTTTCCCATCTATCTTTAAGCTTAAAATTGGTTTTCTGCTGTTTTCAGGATAAAATACAAACTCCTTAATACAGTCACGGGCTCTAAATGTTGAGTCTCCCCCTCTCTCTCTACCTCCTCTACCTGCCTGCATTTATTACACTTCAATCTCACTAGTCTTTCTATCCTTTGTACCCTTCGAGCTTTTATCTGCATCAGGCCCTTTGCACATGCTGTTCTGTTGGCCAGAAACACTCTTACCTGAGCTAAATCCACATGGCTGTCCAAATTAACTGGTACTGTCCATGATCTCTGAGGAACATACTGACTGGTGTTCATTCAACCCTGAACATTCACTGCTAGATGAATACTCAGAGAGACCCTTCTGTCCCAGGGAGGAGCTTACCAAGGCTCAGCTGTGATTGCTTCCAAATTCACTATGACCATTAGATCTGATAATGTCATTGCTTAAAGTGATGCTATGTCAGGAAAACCAATGAAATAAGAGTGCATAGAGGGGGCTGTTTTGATGGAAACTGAGGATGAATACTTTAGAAAGAACTACAAAAAGTCAATGGTAAATAAAGTGTTATGAATAGGAGGAAAATCTATTTTTTTTAACGGGAAAACAATAAAACTGAGATTGTGCACTTAGATTGTTTCACAAATGTTTTAAATTCCTGCTCCAAATTAAAGTAATTGGAACTGGAAATCATGAACTCCCAAAACAGCTCTCCAAACCCAAAAGAACCCAAAAGCTGAAGTTCTGACATATTGAAAAAATACATAGGACTAAATCTAAATGATTAAAATTATCAATAACCAGAACAGGAATTTCCTTGAGCTAAAATTAATTTTATAGGACTAGGCTGATTGAGATATTAAAATAAAATAAATGTTCAAAGAGAATGAAGAAATAATTGTTTCCAATAACCAAGAAGGTATACAGCCAAAACAGGGAGAAATAAAATTAACAATAAAACTAAAAACCAATTAGTACCTTGGAAATAAATTATGTGGTTATTGAAGTTAAAACAAAAACCTCCACAGACAGGACAAACTTGACACTAGCTAAAACCACAAGAGGAATTCACGACACGGAAAAATGTTGAGAGTCACCCAGAACCCAGCACGGAGAGACAGGAAAAATAGGCAAAGTGTAATGAGCACCACGTGCCATCGTCCTAGAAGGAAAGGCGTTGCTGGATTTGAGTGTTGTCCCACCACCGATTTGCCCTGGGACCTTGGGCAAAATGCTTACCTCTCTCCGTGCCTCAACATCCCCTTCTGTAAAATGGGGATAGTGACGATGCCTGGCTCTTAGGATCTCTGTGAGAATGAAATTAATAGGCGCACAGCACTTATGGCAAGGCCTGATGTGTAGTGAGCCCCCTAATCGGTGTTCTTTGTTAGATGCTGTCATCATCGGCAACATTCTTCCCCCCTCCTTCTTAAATGTCCTTTCAGGGCCCTAAATTCTATGACTCTGAGACATGAGCTACAGAGCCTACAGGTCTCCTTTCCTCCTCCATCCCCAGTATCTTATACAGCACCAGGCACATAGTAAGTGCTCAATAAATACTTATGGGATGAATAGATTAAGTGTATTTTTAAGAATGTGATCAATCCTTGAGAGAAAAAAGTTTTAACACACACTATGATTTATCACAAAGCTAACACCAGTGTATCCTCAATGTAAGTAAAAAATAAAATATTGCCAACCCCCCAGAAATTCCCCTCACCCCATGCCCTGCTCCCCTGGCATGCTCTGCCTCGTCCCAAAGCCAACCACTATCCTGACAGGGAATTCAGGACCTTGCTCTTTTAAAAAAGTTTTTACTAACTAAATGTGAATACCTAACACTAGGGTTTGGTTTTATTTGCTTTTTTTTTAATTTAAATAAGTGGAATCACACATATAGCATTATATCTATTTCCATATTTATCCTTTTTCATTCAACATTGTGTTTTTTAAATTCTTCCATGTTGTTGCAAGTAACTCTAGTTCATTGACTTTCCTTGTTGAATAGTTTCCCATTGTATGAATATACCGTATTTATTTATCTATGTTGCTATTGATGGACACTGTGGTTGTTGCTAGCTCTGGACTGTTATACATAATGCTTATGAACATTCTTAGATATATCTCTTGGTCGATAAATAGATGATAGATAGATAAACAGGCAGACAGATAGATAGGATAGAGCCTAGAAGTAGAAATACTGGGTCACACAGAATGCTAATGTTCTAGAATACCAAACTATTTTTCAGAACAATTATTCCTCTTTGCATTCCCACCAGCAGACTAGGAAAGTTGAAGTTGCTCCATGTCCTTGTCAGCACTAAGCACTGTCGGTGCTATTTAGCCATTCTGGTTGGTGTACAGTGGTATCTCATGGTTCCATTTGCATTTCTTCTGATGATTAATTACACTGGACACCTGTCTCACATTCTTATCCGTGATTTGGCTACCAGAAGAGACTCTTTTGAGATCTTTGGAGCTGGTGTATTGTTTGCCAAATGACTTTTTAAAAGTGGCCATCACCTATTTAAAAATATCACAAATCACATGATTTTAATGTCACCGTTACACTGCAGATATACACAAGCTACCCTCTGTCTTGTCCCATTCTCCATTCCTTTCATGAGTATTCTCTTGTCTCCCCAGCAGACTGTAAACGCCTTCAAAACAGGCCGGGATTTCTACTTTTTGTTTCCACCATAGCAACGGCTGGGCAAAAAACTCTTGCCAGTTGATTTACAAACGCAACTTTTAGAAAACCTAATCTTGGGTTATTCATGGATATGTTTTCTGAAAGTCCACAATTACCCTACATCAACATGAGAACAAATTGAAGAGGAAGGAGCCTGCAAAAAGCAGTAAAATCCAAAGAGGACAGGAAGCAGGATGTGCCATTTCTCTGCTGTTCTCCAGAGAAGAGCGTCTCCTGCCGAGACGGACCGACCGGGTGGCGGGCAGCATGCAATCCCAGAGCGCCCATCTCCTCAAGCTTCCCAGACCCAAGGGGAGAAGGAAAGCCTTTTAAAAGGATGAAAACAGAAACACATTTTCCACATTACCCAATCTGGGTACTGCCCCAAATGCCAGACCACTCAGAGAGAAACATTTCCCAAGGTTTTAGGCCATCATTTCATTTCCTGCTCAAAGAGTAAAAATGTTCAGCGCATTCGCCAGTCCCCAGACAGATGCTGGAACACCCAGTGGATCACTGTCACCTTTAAATGAAAAATTTCGTGGACGTGTAGATTCTAAGTTTAGGAACGAATCATAGACGTTTCCACATCCCTGGTCCATCTGACTGTCCCGCATCTACGGACACTGACGGAGCAAGTTCATTGTCAGAATGTCTACTAATAATAATCATTAGCCTTTCATGGGGGCAATACTCTAGCTCCTTATGGATTTTCTAAAGCAGAGGTCAGCAGACACCACCTATTTTTGTAAAAAAAAAAATTTATTGGAAAACAGCTGGCACCAGTTTACATATGGTGTGCGCTGCTTTCTCACCTATATGGGCAGAGAGTTGAGTAGTTAAAACAGAGAGCATATGTCCCTCAGAGCCTAAGATATTCACTATCTGGCCCTTTTAGACAAAACGTTTAGCAGCTCCTATATTAGATGGTCAACATGAGCTTGGCAGGCAGCATGCCACATGTCTGCGCACATTCAATCATGTCAATGTCAAGAACAGTGATAAAAACAAATACCAACTACTCTGTATTGAGCACTTACTGTGTCCCAAGCAGGGCACTAAGGATTTCCCATGTTAGGTAATTGAATCATGGAAGCTTTCAGGAGGAGATATTACATTTCCTATTATACAGAGAAGGAGCCTGAGGCCCCAAAAGGTTGAGCTTCTTGCTCAAAGTCACACAGCTAATCAGAGGTGGGCAGGGCCTCCCACCCAGGCTCTCTGATGCCCGTGCTATGCCTGTAGCCTGCACAGCCCACACCTGTGGAGGTCAGCTGCCCTCTGTGGATGGAGGCAACTGTATCCAGACACCTGGAAGTCTCACCACGTAAAGCTGCCATTGTGAGGGAGGTTTGGTTGCGGCTCTCGGTACTAAGGCCAGGCCAGGCCTGGGTCAGCATCTTCATGGGGACCAGTAACCCCTGCCGACCTCAGAGGCCTGCTTGCTGCACACATGGAGACCAGCCCATGGTCCAGAGCATGGCTCCCGAGACCTGTGGGTGTGTCAGCAAGGCTCCTGACCTCTGGTTTGTGCCAACCATGTCCAACACTGATTTATGGTAGAAGCTGCTCTCTGCTGGAGGAAGTGTCAGGCGAGGGACTAGGAACAAAGTCCCTTCCCACTGCCCCCAGCAGTTCAGCCTCATCTGCAGATCTGCACAGCTAGCTGGCCTGGCAACACAAAAGTCTTGTGGGTAAGAGACCCGTCCGGTAGCTGCCAGGAGGCAGTTACCCTCAGGCACGCCTCCCCCTGGGGGCTGAACTTGGACCCCATGGGGGTTATCTAAAAATCTTTCACGGCCTCACTCGCTGTTCCCCCTGTGCTCAATCCCTGAGCCCCACCCCACCTCCAATTCCCAGAGATGCCTGCTGCCCTTGAACGGTGGCTCCTAGGGCCCCTTGACCCTTCCTCCCCCCCACCCAACTCCATTCCTGAGAAACGGTCAAGTGACTTTCTAGGCACGGCCAATACATCTCACAAACTCACTGAGAAGGAAGGAGGGCCAGCGGGGGGCCCGTGGTGCCCAGGGCCTTTCATGGTATACCTCGCTTCCCCAGCTGCCCCTCAGGCCCAGCCCCTCCCTGCCACGGCTCTTAACCTTGGAAGCCAAAGGAAGTCGGTTTGGGTCCAGAGGAAACTTCACGACCTTGGAGCAGCACCCTGACCTCTGATAGAGCCAGTTTGCACCATCTTGTCCAGTGGAGTGAGCCCCTTCTTCCCGCTCCTGGCCCCAGCCAGCCCTCTCCCTGCCTGGGCCCACATGCCTCTGGGGTTTACCTTCACGGCCACAAGCATCTTGTCCTTGGTCGGGCTGAGGTTGTAGCACTCTGCTAGGAAGACCTTCCCAAAGGCTCCCTCGCCCAGTTCTCGTTTCAACACGATGTCCCTCCTTTTAATGTGCTGTACATCTGTAGGAGGGGACAGAGAGGAGAGTTACCCAGTCAGTACCAGGCATCTGTCCCCCCCATTAGAGGCCCAGGAGGACAGGAGGGCACCAGCGTCTAGTGCAGGGAGATCTGCTCCTGAATCCACAGCAGGGTGATGGAAACTCAGCACCCCAGTGGGGCACGAAACCAGGCATCACCCAGTGGTTTGAGAGTCCGACCCAGGATCCTCTCAGCTCTGCCCCTGCCCAGCCCCGAGCCTCCCCAAAATACAGCTGCTTCAGCAGGAAAATGCAATCAGCAGTGCCAACACACAGAATTCTAGCATCATCAGCTGTAGCTGCAGGACAGAGGTTACAGCCCGTCTCTGAGCACAGAATTCCGTGGGCCTCGTGCAGATGCTGAGCCAGTGCATCTGAGAATCTGCATTTCTAATAAGCTCTCAGTGCCCGGGACAGACGAAAGACACACACGCACAGGGACACACACTGGCTCTTGCTGTAGCATAATGGCTGTAGCAATCCTTTCAAGTGTCTGCTTCCTGGTAGAGACTACTGAATGGGGGCTAAAATTATTTGGGAGAAGCCTCTACTTGAGAAATCCCTTCCCTCTGAGAGAAAGAACAATGAACTCAAGCAGGCAAAGTCCAGAGACCTCCCCAGAACAAGGGTCTCTGCAAAGAGAAGGGTTGCCACTGCCTCTGCTAATTTAGCAACCTAATTAGAGTCTGTCTGCCAGGAGAAAGCAAAGATGTGACCTCAGCCCTCCCACCTATTTGGAAAGAATGCTACAAAGGAGCAGCCCCAGCCCTGGGCTGGTGATGAAAGGGGCAAGCCAGAGATTACTCACTGACCCTTCCATTAATTGTTCAGCAGGCGGAAGCCCATTAAATACCTGTATCGGCATTACGAAGATACAACGCAGAGCCAGGAAAGGGGATCGTCTCAGATGACCTTATCAAAAAGCGAAAGCTGAAGATGGGCCAGGCAGACTGTCCCCATGAGCGAGGAGACATGTGACAGGGACAGAGGGGCGTGGCTACAAGGCTTTGTGAGTGTTTTGACTGGCGTGGGGATTCCCTTCTGACTACACACGTCTTTTTTTTTCTATCGAGAGTTCTTGGGATCCACCCCCAAGATGACCTGGCAGCAGAGCCTCGTGGGAGGAGGCCTCACAGACCGTCATTCCCTCCTCCCAGCAGGACAGACCTGCCAGCTCTCTGCGGCTGGTGGCTGCTCCTCAAGGCCACAGGGATGCTGTACACAAAGCCTTTGCTGTGCCAGCCTCTACAACAGGGGCATTCCAACCTGGTTCCTTCTTCACACCCTGTGATGCTATTTCCTGGCCTCTGCAGAATAGTATTTGTTGGCCTGGGAGTTGGGAAGGCTAAAGAGTCTCCCACAGACAGGAAATGGGAGTTCAGGACCTCCGGAGGGAGGCCACATGCTCACTACTGCACGGTCATTCCCAGGTGACTATGGGTGACACCCGGGCCCTGCCAGGTGAGCGTCCTGGCCCAGCCTCAGAGTGGAGACGGGCTGATGGTGGCAGCTTTCAAGGCCTCTGGATGCACAGGGGCTGGTCAGGAATGGGCAGCCCGGGGCTCTTGTGCAGGACCTGGATCCCCCAGCTGCTCGGGTCTGCGCACCTCCCTGAACATCTCGGCTTGGTTTCCTCATCTGAAAAATGGGTGGGGGAGGATTAAACAAGTCCCGCTTACGCGCTCCATGAGCTATTGTATGTAAAGGGTTGCAAATGCTCGCCTCCTATCATGCTGGTGTGTCGAGGTGTTTTCTTCATTATTGATATTATTTTACAAGAAAGGAAAATAAAGGCCAAGTCAGGTGTCCCTAACTGGTAGCTGAGACGGAACTAGAATCCAGAGCACCAGGACATGTCAGTGCAGCCAAACCAATGGGGACAAGCCCACTTCGGCCCAGACCCCACCCCAACTCCAGCCTCCCTCAGCATTGCAGAAGGACCGTGGTTCTCAAAGCCGAGCCACATCAGAATCGCCTGGAGGGCTCCCCCGGATCGCTGGGCCCTTTCCCCAGAGATGCCTGTTCAGGAGGCAGTTTGGGGCCTGAGATTTGCCTTCCTCACCAGATCCCAGGTGATGGCGAAGCTGCCAGCCTGGCACCTCTTCTGAGAACCATGAAACAGGAGACCCCTGTGTGGTGGGGGATTAGCCAGCGGCTGACAGACATTGCCCTTTGCAGCTTGGCCTCAACAAGCCCCAAGTCCATGAACAGTTCAGTCGTGCCTCCCGGCTGGAAGCCCAGAAGGAGGGCCTGCAATCATGGCTCCCCTCCAGGCTCCCCTCTCCCCCGTCCCCAGCTGTGTGGCCTAGGCTGAGTCAGACGCCCTCTCAGAGGCTCACGTGCTCATCCATGTGGTGGAGAACATGCCTCTTTTGCCTTCCCGTGCTCTGGACACGCCTCTGCAAAGGGAAAGCCATAGCATGGAAGTTCCTGGACCCCTGAGTCCAACTCCAGGCTGGGAGAGCTCACCAGCTTCCCCGAGAGCTCCTCGCTCTCAGCTACAGTGAGAGCAGAGAACAGAGAAGCTCTACGGAGCTCTGGTTCTCAGAGGTGCTGAGGCACGTCTCAGAACCCTCCATCTCCTCCTTGGCGGCAAGAATCTCAGGCCCTGGAAGATTCAGAGCAGCCAAGCGGGAGCAGAGGACAGGGAGCTGTTTCCCAGGCTTCCCTCTACATCCCAGGAGATGAGCACCTGGCGGCAGCTGCAAAACTCCCAGGAGGGGGGGCTGTGACCTCCATGGGCCTTGGATGTAGCAACGGGCAGGTGACCGTGTTGCTGGAAATCTGACTGCTCGCTGCAAACCCGGAGCGGAAGCCTCCCACAGACCACAGTGTTTTCCCCAAATCTGCAAACAGATCTTTTTCAGGGACATGGAACGTGCAGTGGCTCAGTAGAAAATTGCCTCGGCTCACTCTCTCTGTATTCAGGGAGTCGTCTGAGGCCAGTACCTGAGCTGGGTCCCTGAACGGGGTGGTGAGACCCAGGAAGGGCCAGCAGAAGGAATGGAAGATAAAAACAGTCCCCAACTCCATCAGGAATCCTGCCCCCAGCCCCCTGCTCCCAAGGGAGAACTTCCTCGCGGCCATGGGGAGAAGTCCCACAAGGCAACAGAGCAGTTTCAGCAGAGAGAGGCTGAACACGGGCCCAGCTCAGAAGGCAAATAATCCCTTCCGTGTGGACAACCCTGCCTACCACCCAGACCCTGGACCAGAACACCATGCGGGCAGCTGTCTTCCCTGGTCCTAAGTAGGAGGAAGTTGGGAAAAGGCAATAAATCTGTGCCCAGTCCTACCATTCGCTCAACATTCTGTTCTCATGGTAACCATGAGAGTAGGTGTAACTGTACCCCTTTCACAGATGAGAAAACAGAGGCAGAGGGTAACTTTCCAAAGTTCTCAGAGCCAAGACACGGCCAAGGAAGAGCCCCCCTCTTTCTGTGGCTCCCGAGCCCGTGTGTTTTTCCCTTACCTATGGTTGCCTTTCCTGCTCTGTGGCCACCAGGAGAACCCTGTCCACAGAAGCTCGACGCTCCGACTTCCTTCTCTACTCCTGCCCAGCTTCTTTCCCTGCTCATCTTCCCAGGGGGGCAAGGGCTGCCCCCCTTCCCAGAGGCCCTGAGGAGAAGGGTTTGGGTGGGAGGCTGTGGGAGGAAAGGGCGCTGCTCGGACCCTGGGGAAGGGCCACAGGGAACCATTTCCATCTCTGACGTTCACATGTCTATTTGGGCCTCTTTTTCTGCTATTTTTAGCTCGCAGAGCGCTGCTCAGAGCTGCCTCTGGTGAGGCCATTTGACCCGCGTGCCAAAAAGTGATAGATGTTCCTAGGAGGAAAGGGCATCAATCTCCTTTTACTGCCTGGCTGGCTGGCCCAGCCGAGTCTGGGTCACAAGTCTCAGATGCCGGGACGCTGGCAGGGGAGGAGGAGAGAGGGGGACACACAGACGGGGCCGTGGGAAGGTTTCCCCGTCTCCAGCAGTGAGGGTCTGAGTGGACAGCAGGGGGCTGGTGAGGTGGGGGAAGGGTCATGGGGAGATGAAAAGGGTCCCTGGCACCGCCTGACCTCGCGCTTCCCTAATTCCACGTGTTGAGAGAGCCACCGAGTTTCACCAGAGAAAGCCACCGTATAGCTTCTCATGCCCACAGGACAAGAGGGTCAACTGACAAATACAGGAGGATTCCTTCATTTCAGTCACTGCTCCGTACATTTCCCTCTGTACTGAGGACCAAGATCATTGCTCTACATGTGTGGGATTCACTTCTGGGAGGTCTTCCCCAGGCGTGGAGCAAGCGTGACCCAGCTTAACCTAAGTAGGTCACCAGCAGGCCTTGTACCGAAGTCCTCAGACCCCTGAGAGCTTAGCGGGCACGCTGCCATTCCCCCTCATCCGGCCTCTGTTGACCTGGGCTGCCTCCTCCTGGGAGGAAGAGGTTTCCTGCCACACCTTCTGGGACCTGTCTAGGACCAAGGGATAGAGGGACGTGGCCCGAGATGCAGGTACCACTGTTATCTTCACCTCCATTTCCTGGGAAAACAGGTGTTGTAGCAACCGTGAACTGCTCAGCCCTTCTGACCAGGGGCGAAGGGGAAGCAGAAAGCCCACCAGATGCTGCGAGGACTCGGGAAAGGAAACAGGTCTGTGTCTGCACCCCAACCCTGCCTGGTCCCCCCTCGGGGTCTGCTCCCTTAACTGTAGAACAAGGAAGTGTCTATCTACTTGGCAGAATTGTGAAGAGGACTGACTTAAAATTTTTAGACAGTAGAGGTATTAGGAAATATCTGAACCATAGAGGACATTGAACAAAGTGTGTCTCCTTCCTTTCTGCGAGGTTTTAACTAATTGCTCAATCTACCCTCGAACAAAATAGTGGCTTGGAAAGGAACTTGATGAAGGATGGTGATATTCTCCTGAAACAAAATGGTATGAGGTTGCTGGCGTGGGAGCAGGGGAGCGACACCGACTCTGGGGGTCACTGGCAGCCTGC